GTATCCCTGTTAGGTTTGTAGGCGCCAATGCGCGTTACGCGCTGGCTGCCCGCCCGCCGCGCCGCACATTGGTTCCCAGACCCGATCTAGGTGGCATTAATTCGAAAAAATGAATTTTGGAAAAATTAAAATTTCACACCACAGATCGATAGTGCATACTCTCAAGAGTAACTTGGCCAAATATCATGAAGATTGGATCACTAATAAGGAAATGATAAGCACCTAAAGGTGAGGCCGCAAGGTACTTTTGGGCGGACTCTCACCAGTTTTCAGTGTTTACTGTCAGGTCCTATGATTTGAAGTTCATCACACAGAAATAGATGCAAATGTGAAGTTTTCTGTTATGGTGTATCAAAAATATAAGGCATGTCAAAGGTTTATACGTTCTTACTATCTTTCAAAAACGTGTCTATACATCTAGACAAGCCGTTAGACAAAGCGTTATTTTCTACTAATTCCAAGCAAATTTTTACAAAAATGGCTCTAGATGAATGTCTTGCGCCGGTTCGCACGCATACAGACCTACTGTAGTAGTTAGTACCAACCCTAAACTTGATTTTAGTGCAATAAAATTCTGCGCATACTTGCGTCCCTGGGGGTTAGGGCACTTTGAATTTCCAAAACCGGCTTTCAAGAAATAAAGAATTGACACACTAAGGAGCTTACTGCAGACCTCAGATCCTTGGGAATATGAATACTGCATTTTTTACAGGTCATGTGGGTTCTCAAGTCTTCATAATCGTTAAGATGATTATTTTTTACTTTGTCTATACCTCTAGAGAAGCCCATAGACTTACCACAGCTACGGTTTTTTGACTGGACATTTTACAATTATGACTCAAAATAAAGGCCCTGCGTAGGTTTGCACACGTGCAGACCGACTGTAGTAGTTAGTGCTGACCCTACACTTGATTTCGGAGCAAAAAAATTCTGCGCATACTTGCGTCCCTGGAGATTAGCGCACTTTGAATTTCCAAAACCGGCCTGCGAGAAATGAAGAAAATTGAAACACTGAGGAGCTTACTGCACTACTGCAGACTCCAGATCTTTGAGGACTGCATTTTTTGCACATCACGTGAGTTCTCAATTCCTCACAATCATTGGGATGATTATTTTTCACCTTGTCTATACCTGTAGAGAAGCCCATAGACTAAAGACAGTTCCCGTTTTTTTACTAGAAATTTTACAATTATGGCTCAAAATACAGAACACGTGGGTTCTTAAATCCTCTCAATCGTTTAGATAATTGTTTTTCACATTGTCTATACCTTTAGAGAGGCCCATAGACATAGCACTGTTCCACAGGAAAGGAGCTTACTGCACTCCTCGCGTATTATTCCGTGATTGTATGAGTAAATGTCCTCTAACTTAACAACGAGTGCTTATTTCTTTCTTGGTTCATGATTTCTTCGTGTTTTTATTCTCTCAGGTTTGTAAGGCTCTGAAATCATCGCAAGCTCACAACTTTGTTTAGAAAAGAAAAAAAAGCAAGTGTGACACCTCACTCTTTTTGATGCGCAGTAAAGTATTATACCGATGAATATTTTCCTGCTCTTACAGACAGTAATCATTTTTCTTTCAAAATACTTTGTTATTAATTTTGGTTTCTGCTTTCCTTCATTGAGTGAATATACTTCTCGTTCAAGTAAAATATTTATGTTACATATGTTTAAATTGCCGCGTATAATGAATTTAAATGGATTTTTTGAATTATANCCAAAATGTTCCTTAAAGGGAGGAGAATAAGCATATTTAATTGAAATTTTGATTTATCTGCCACAGAACTCATGCAAAAGCGAAATAAAACCTTGAGAATTAGACGGCAAATTTGATACCACCTGCAATGTCAGCTTTAGGCAACCCGCATGTCAAAGCGGAAGGGTTCAAAGGTCCTAGAACCGTGGATACATTCATTTTGGAAGCTTAACCACTAGAAAACCAAGAAAAAATATTTAAAATCAGACTTTTTTTTTCGTCGCCCATGACCGACCTCTACCATTGACTCGATCCACCGTGCGCCGCAGCGTACCACGGCGCTTGAAGCAATCATTTCACACCAGAGATATTGCACAGTACGAAATTGAAGTCGCTCCAACATATTAGGAATGGCAGGCATCCTTCAAAAGTACGGCGCTGTCCTCGCAAAATAAATCAAGATACTACGGCCCAAGAAGAGAGCGGTAATCCAAAAACTCACTAAGTTCTAGCATCCGTAATTAACAACGTTTAGCATACACTTTATCGCCAGGCTGTTGCTTAATCGCCATCGGCTATAAAAGGTTATTGGAAATTGTGTTGCCGGCTATAGAAGCTATTGGGAATCTTACAGCCGGCTGTTGTTTTACGGTATTTTGGAACACAGATTCTACTGCCAATTTTTACCAGGGAAGAGTCTGGACTCTAGATCCAATGTGGTTTTTTCCCAGTGCGTCAAAAAAAGGGTTTTTCTACGAAAGCGAGTCCGATTTTCCTCCCTGCATCAAGTTCATCCTTTTTAAAATCAGTTTTCTTACTTATGTTTGAATCTCAAGCTAAATCTGTTCATCAGTTTTTTTTTTATATTTTATTTATTATGGGGAGGGAAGGTTCTTTTTAAGTGAGTTTCCCGCGCGACGAGAGTAAAAGGAGAGCTGAAGAAATTTATTCTCACCGCTCGGTGCGCGAAATTAGCCGTTGCAAAAACAACCGCGATAATGAAAGAAAAGCAACGCTTAAACGAGGCATTTGAGGATTAGAGGGATTGCAACGATGCGTGCGGAACAAAGGGGGAATAGTGGAGCACATGCTCCCGGGGGACAAAGAGCCGTCGATGGGGAGGAGAGATCTTTCAACGCCGCCGCCGTCTAAAATAAATCAAATTAATTCGTTTCTGAAAGCTTTTGACAGTTTATAAACAGAGCTGCGACTCTTTGTCGCTGCGGCTTTGACCGATTATAATCGACAGGGCGCGAATAAAGCGACATCCTTCGTCAAACTTGTCATGCCGTGTCAGCGCCACCGCCGAGTCAGGTCATTGTTTAGTCGCGCCCAGCGCGCGCGATCTCCGGTTAGGCTGTTCCTTGCTCCAGGACAATCGAATGACCTCTCTAGATGTTTTCCAAAAGCTCCGAGTCCAAATTCCTTCGCTCGCAACATTTTCTGCAAACTCTTTTCTTTTTCTTTTTTCTTTTTTTTTTTTTTGCACGTTATGATTCTCAAAGAACACTGCTGATGCCTCTATCGATTGCAATCAGCGTGATCCGAAAAGACCGTGCACTGGAAAAAAACCGCATTGGATCTAGAGTCCAGACTCTTGAAAACATCGACAAGAAAAAATACTCTTGATTCAATCAGATTTAAGCTTAAATCAGGAACCAAGCCTCTTAATTTGAGCAGATTTCCTTTTGATTTTAGCTTAAAGCTGATTGAATCAAGAGTCCTTTTTCTTGTCAATGTTTTCAAGAGTCTGGACTCTAGATCCAATGTGTTTTTTTTTCCAGTGTGGGGGTCGCTCTTTTTACTTCCTCGTTTTTCTGTTTTTCCTTCTGTTTTTAATTTTTTTAAGTTATCTATTTATTTTTTTTACTTCATGATACTCCTAAGAATACTGCTGATGCCTCCATGGATGGCAATTAGCGTGTTTCGGAAAGACCGTGGGGGTCGCTCAGAGAATGAGTGGAGGATGGAGGGGGGTCTAGGATAGCGTCACGCCGTTTTTTACGTGTTAAAGGTTAGGGACTTACGTTACAAAAGCGATACAAGGGGTTGAAAAAGCGTAGCGTACGCTATGGACGTAGTTGGGTTCCTTTTGACGGCTATCTACCCCTGTCGAAAATCCAATTGTAAAATCATTGTGTGCTTTCCTGAATTTTTGTTTTCTTCTTATCGATACGTGCATAAAATTGTACGAGAAAAAAATGCTTATTTTGAAGCTGATGAACGCATAATTCATATGAAAGTGCTCATAAAAGCTAGATTTCATTTTTGCAAAACGCCAGTGGGAGTGGGTGAAAATCCTGAAATCGTTGATTTTTTTAAAAAGAAAAAAGAGAAAAAAAACCTTGACTTCCTTCTATTTTACTGGATTGTCGCGAGAAAACACAAGACGTATTTTACCACCAGAGATGGAAAATTTCACAAAATTTCATGACATTTTTTTAAATTTTGGGGGATGCATTCAGGAGGCAAAGAAACACCTAGAATCAGTGATTCTTGGTTTTGACATTTTTCACCCCAAAACTGAAACATTCACGCGTTGCATATGTTTTCGTTTTGTTTGGAGGTTATTTTGGGGCTATCTCTCTGAACTTCCTTTTGTGCCCTCTTTCGTGTAAAGCACCTCTTTAGAGTAGCATGTACTGCCGCATCAACAGGAGACCATCAGAAACGCTTTTCGGACTTCCAAAGGTTTAATCAATAATGGGGAAATAAATTAACGAATTTCAAATTTTGTGAAATTTCCCTTTCCATCTCTCATGGCGTAACAACTCCAAGTCCATGTGTCTGTATACACAAGGAGCATCAAAATGCGATGAAAAACGATGACAAATCCTTGTATAAGAGTCGACTTAATTTAAGAATAAAAAAAACAATTTAAAAAGCGGGTAACAAGGCTAAAATTTCGCATACACAAAACCAAGACGTTTCGGCTGAAAATTCAGCCATCTTCAGTTGGATGAATTAAAATAAAAATGGTTAAAAATCTAAAATAGTACCTGATAAGTACCTTTCAACTGGGAATCAATCGAAAGGTTCAATTCCCAATTAAAGGTACTTATCAGGTACTATTTTACATTTTTAACCATTTTTATTTTGATTTATCCAACTGGGGATGGCTGAATTTTCAGCTGAAACGTTTTGGTTTTGTGTGTGTAAAATTTTAGCCTTGGTACCCGCTTTTTAAATTGTTTTTTTTATTGTATATCTAGTCACGGGTTGCAGAGCATCTATCATATTTAATTTAAGAATATTTTCCTAGAGTTGGACAAAATGTTAAGCGATTCCGTTTGGTGTGATTTCAGGGATCATCAACCGAGGAGACTCGTTCCGGCGTCGATCCCGGAGCAACAGTCTGCTCCCGAAACCGGACACGGGCCCCCCAGACAAAGGCGCCCCCTCGCCGCCCCCCGACGTGGTCTCGTACACGGTGGGGCTCCTCGGGGCGCAGGGGGTCGGCAAGACGTCACTCATCAGCCAGTTCATGACGTCAGAGTGCATCAACGCGTACGATAGGCAGAGAGGTAATTGACCCCGTTTCAAACCTAACCCCCTCGCACCCCCCTCCTCGCACAGCCCGCTCTCACCACCACCCCCCTCCGACGGTCATTCCGTCGAACCCTGGCTGCCACGTTTCCTCGCTGGATTTCCGATTCGCGCATCGCTGAATCGTATTTTAATATATTGACTAGCTCTTGAGAAGTCAGGGAATTTTTCTTTGCCCTGAAATGACAGAGAATTTGGCTGAACGGTGAAATGTTTTCGTGAAGTCAAAACAAAGCAGTTTTGTTTTTCAATATCATATGGATACTTCTCTCTTTCGAGTTCCTTCGAAAACAATTTTTACCAGAGATCATGCTAAAAGAGAAAAATTATTAAAAAGTCACGGATTTTTACTCGTTCAAAATTTCCAGAAAGTTACAGAAATTTGAAATCCTAGTGAACTTTTCACCGCCCTGTTGAATCAGGGACGCCAAATGTGGTTGTGGTGGTGAGGGAGGAAAGCTAATTGCTATCTAATTTGAAATCTGTCCTTTTTTTAAATGGTTCTGGACGATAAAGTGTGTTTTGATCAAGACCGCCAATAGAGAAGGCCTTCTCCTTCTAGCCCGCATTTCCTTCTTCTTTTCTTTTTTGCTTCAGAGAAATATTTTCGCAGATTAAGAACATTTTTCGTTTTGGAAGACATGATAAGATGAAAATCAAATTGATTAATCCATCGATGTTAAAACTCAAAACGTCCTAAATTTCAAATTTCTCTGGAGCAGAAAATAAGGTTTGCCTCATAAACGAAGTTTCATATAAGTGTCGGTATTGGCCATGCAAAATTCATAATGTGTAGACTTAATCATGCGTGACCAATTTAGACAATTCTCTTCAACTCTTATTCAGAGCGTCTAGACTCTGCAGTTGANTCCCAATTAAAGGTACTTATCAGGTACTATTTTACATTTTTAACCATTTTTATTTTGATTTATCCAACTGGGGATGGCTGAATTTTCAGCTGAAACGTTTTGGTTTTGTGTGTGTAAAATTTTAGCCTTGGTACCCGCTTTTTAAATTGTTTTTTTTATTGTATATCTAGTCACGGGTTGCAGAGCATCTATCATATTTAATTTAAGAATATTTTCCTAGAGTTGGACAAAATGTTAAGCGATTCCGTTTGGTGTGATTTCAGGGATCATCAACCGAGGAGACTCGTTCCGGCGTCGATCCCGGAGCAACAGTCTGCTCCCGAAACCGGACACGGGCCCCCCAGACAAAGGCGCCCCCTCGCCGCCCCCCGACGTGGTCTCGTACACGGTGGGGCTCCTCGGGGCTCAGGGGGTCGGCAAGACGTCACTCATCAGCCAGTTCATGACGTCAGAGTGCATCAACGCGTACGATAGGCAGAGAGGTAATTGACCCCGTTTCAAACCTAACCCCCTCGCACCCCCCTCCTCGCACAGCCCGCTCTCACCACCACCCCCCTCCGACGGTCATTCCGTCGAACCCTGGCTGCCACGTTTCCTCCCTGGATTTCCGATTCGCGCATCGCTGAATCGTATTTTAATATATTGACGAGCTCTTGAGAAGTCAGGGAATTTTTCTCAGCCCTGAAAAGTCGGAGAATTTGGCTGAATAGTGAAATTTTTTCGTCAAGTCAAAACAAAGCAGTTTTGTTTTTCAATATCACATGGAGACCTCTCTCTTTCGAGTTCCTTCGAAAACAATTTTTACCAGAGATCATGCCAGAAGAAAACAATTATTGAAAAATCACGGTTTTTCACTCGTTCAAAATCCCCAGAAAGTTACAGAAATTTGAAATCCTAGCGAACTTTTCACCGCCCTGTTGAATTAGGGACGCCAAATATGGTTGTGGTGGTGAGGGAGGAAAGCTAATTGCTATCTAATTTGAAATCTGTCCTTTTTTTAAATGGTTCTGGACGATAAAGTGTGTTTTGATCAAGACCGCCAATACAGAAGGCCTTCTCCTTCTAGCCCGCATTTCTTTCTTCTTTTCTTTTTTGCTTTAGAGAAATATTTTCGCAGATTAAGAACATTTTTCGTTTTGAAAGGCATGATAAGATGAAAATTAAATTGATTAATCCATCGATGTTAAAACTCAAAACGTCCTAAATTTCAAAATTGTCTGGAGCAGAGAATAATTTTTGCCTCGTAAACGAAGTTTCATATAAGTGTCAGTATTGGCCATGCAAAATTCATAATGTGCAGACTTAATCATGCGTGACCAATTTAGACAATTCTCTTCATCTCTATTCAGAGCGTCTAGACTCTGCAGTAAAATATTCTTGGACTTGAAGGCAGTTTTTTCTCCGACCAAAATTATCAAAGCCCGCTGACTTCACATCAATAGTTTGCACGCGTTAAACTGAAAATTAACATTTTTTACTAACATTTCACTGCTAATGACAGAAACATGTGAATCTTTTTCCTACAGATATCAGTCGAGCAATAAACTAAAATTGCAAATTCGTATCGAAAATTATTCTTCCAGTCACTATTCAGAATGTAATTTAGAGCATTGAAGCTCGAACCTAATTGAGACTCACTTTGAATGTGTGAACAGCGCTGGATTTTTCAAATATCCAGTCTTTTTCATAAAATTCCCTGATTTCCTTGACCTGATAAAATTCCCTGACAATTTCTGGTTCTCTAAACCTGTAGACACCCTGACATTGAATTTATAAGCATAAGTTCGATTTTGGACGTATTGCATAGATTGACCTACGAAAGTAATATTTGTTCTACAAAACCCGCCAAGTTGTTTTTTTTGTTCCCTTTCATTTTTCTTTTGAAGATATAATCTTTAACATGGGCCTATCCAAATTTTGGCACGCTGAAAAAAAAACTCCGGCAGCGCAATGGACCTGTTGCAAACTTTAGCTATATCAAAACTAAGATTTGTTTCTTATAGATAATGCCTCAAAAATCACGATGAGCGCATTGGCAAAGTCTGAAATGCACTCATAACTTCACAATCTGCGTAAGAAATTTGCGGTTTTTTTGAGCTTCCCGCTTCAAAAACGATACTACAGCACAGGTGAACATTTTGTTAGAGGAGGCGTTCCATCGTCGGCAATATTCATCATGGCCGACGCCAATTCGCCAAAACACGTATGATGAGACGAGATAACACCTGAACAGCATTAGACCAGATAACAATCGGCGTGTTTACGTCCAAATTTTCCTCGCCCGCCTTGATTGACCCTGAACTCATCTCGAACTACGCGCGGAACTGCGGAAGCGTCGGCCATGATGAACATTGCCGACGATGGAACGACTCCTCTAACAAAATGTTCACCTGTGCCGTAGTATCGTTTTTGAAGCGGGAAGCTCAAAAAAACGCAAATTTCTTACGCAGATTGTGAAGTTATGAGTGCATTTCAGACTTTGCCGATGCGCCCATCGTGATTTTTGAGGCATCATCTGTAGGAAACAACTCTTATATTTGATCTAGCAAAAGTTTGCAACAGGCCCATTACGGGCTATATAGACATACCGTCCGTACCGGGCTCAAAGACCGAAAATTCCGGCTGCTGGAGGCGTAGCTTCGATTGCTCCGGGTTCAGAAGCCGAAGCTACTTCTCCAGCAGCCGGAATTTTCGGCCTTTGAGCCCGGAACGGATGGTACGTATGTATAGCCCGTAATTGCGGCTATCACGGCCGGAGTTTTTTTTTTCAGTGCAACTGTCTGACGATCCCTAGTTGAGCGAAACCTATATGTCACTCACTTTGGTTCATCACGGCAATATACCTTTCGCACATCCATATCAAACTTGCATGAATTTTTAAAAATTGCGTTTAGCAATTCCTCTTTGGCAACGGTGGGAGGCTTTTAAATATTTGATGAGTGGAGTCACATCAGCTGCAGTGCTCTGAAAAAGTAATCCGGTCAGTTTCAAAATCAAAAGAGAGCGGTCCCGCGCGCACCGAGCCAAAGATCTGGTGCAACTTTCGACAGAGAGGACGAACATCGGATGCATTTTGTCAAAAGGGACTGCTGTTTCTGGTTCATCCATAAAAGCACACATCTCAGGGTGTCCACAAGTCCGAAATTTCCGGAAAGTCCGGAAATAGCACGGATTTTTTAAGGGCGGTCCGGAAGTACTGAAAAAGTGCGCGGAAATTCCGCAAGGAGGTCCGGAATTTTTTTTTTAATTTGTTGTCATTTTTGTCGCAATTAGAGCGAGAAATTCGAATTTCGTCAATCAGAGGTACTGAAAAAGTACTGAATTTCTCCCGTTGAGGAGGTACTAAAAATATTGGAAATGCAACGAGTACTGTAAAAGTACTGATTTTTAGCCAGCCTGTTAGACACCCTGCCATCTGCTCAGGTAAGATCAAAGTAAGAGAAAGGACAGAGGGAGAGAGACGAAGGAAAAGAGGAGGAAAAAGATGAGGAAAGGAATAGAAAGCCTAGGAAAAAGAAAAGGAGGGAAAAAGAAGAGGAGGAATTTAGAAAGCTGGGGAAAAAGAAAAGGAGGAATTTAGAAAGCTGGGGAAAAAGAAAAGGAAAAGAAATAGAAAGCCGAGGAAAAAGAAGCAGAAGAGATGTGAAAGAAGAGAGGGAGTGGAAGAGGATAGAAATGGAAATATTAGGAGAGAGGAGAAGAATAAAATGCAATATTTAACGTTTTCATACTTGAAGCATATGATCTTATAGGGTTCACATGGTAGATTTTTGAGAAGAAACAAGTGGAATTTGCCTTTAACAATTGATGGATCCATTTTGCGCCAAAAGTTTAAAGTGAAACTAGTACATCCAAGCAAAATTACTTCTCTACCTCGATCTCTATGTACTTCTGCAGTAGATTCACCTAAAACCTCTCTGACACAGTCGGTGCGAACTACATGAGACCTCTTAAGGACAGGAATTTTCTCGAGATTCTTCAAAATTTTCCTTTTGACGATTTTACGCGGAGGTCTCGTTAAACCTCCGTTAATTACAATATGAACCGTCCGGGAAAGTAGCTATTTTAGAAAGAACTACGAATTAGACCCCATTTAATCCCACACGGAG